GTCTAGCGTTCGTACGAAGTGCGTGAGCTGCGACGTCGGACTCTGCATTTCGGAATTTTTTCGGCAGTACCATACGAAGGCCACATTACCATAGATGACGCAGGGGGGAAGGCTGTTTCCTCATGAAGATGGTGAACATATATCACGTAAGTAGAGCAAAAATTTAATTTTAAAAAAATCTTTACACGCGTGCAATGCGCGAAATCATATGAGGTCGTTCGGCCATATGACGTCGGTAGATTACATTAGATCACGCAGGAGGGAAGGCTGTCACCTTATAAAGGTTGTGACCAAAAATTATGTAAATAGAAGAACAATTTATATTTTAAATTTAATTTTAAAAAAATCTTTACACGCGTGGAATGCGCGACATCATATGATGTCGTTCTTAAATTTGTCCTTACTTTTAACGTCATATGACGTCCCTAGATTACATTAGATCATGCAGGAACGAAGGCTGTCTCATTATAAAGGTGGTGACCAAAAATCATGTAAATAGAACAACAATTTATATTTTTAATATACTATTAAAAAAAACCTTACACGCGTGGAATCCGGGACATCATATGATGACGTTCGGCCAGCTGCCCTAACTTTTAACGACATCATATGATGAAGTTCGTCCGATAAAGGTTAAAGAACACTGTAAATGAGGAAACACTGATCGCAGTAGCCTGGAAGGCATAACAGTTCCCCTGAATTTCCACGCACCTGATGACGGCTGAAATACATAGTGAAGTGAATCTTAAAAGCATTTAATTTTAAATCTTGATATTACTGCATGGTGCATGGCAAACAAAACTGAAAATAAATTCTAACTCTCAATTTTTTGCTGAATTACTGAGTTTCAAAAAGTCATTTCTTCATGTTTTTTAAGAATCTGTGTCTCAGTAAACACATTTCATATTACTAAAAGCTGGAAGTTATGGGGACTCATTATTTATGCTTATACTCAGATTTCAAGATCATTCTGAACCACGGTCTTCCCACGTGGAAGTCAATTCGCCATGCAGTAACATGCAGATAAGAACATGGTCTCTTAACTCTTTGACTGGCGCGAAGGGTATTTAAATCCCACCCCTGTCCTGGCAGGCCCTTTAAACCTTATGTCGCTAAAATGCATGTAGTTACTTTTTCCTAAACAACTTCAACAAAAATTGGTTTTTTAAAAACGAAATTTTCAGGAACTAATTAAAATACAATATATTATGCAATAAATTCCTTTCCATCCCTCTTTATTAGTTTTTCTTCGTGTGATAAACATTGAAACATGAAAGTTTGCAGAGAGCCACACCACAGCCTGCACACACGATACTTGTTTCTTTTCTAACCTTGTGCTTAGCACTCACGCGACACTTTCTCAGGGCACCATTCTTCTTATTGTTACTGGGAGGAACATGGACCATTTTGTGAATTTTCAAGCCACCCTCTAGACGATTTACTTGCTCTTTCACTGGTGGCCTTTTCAAGGTCGAGGGCGGAGGCGTGACTGCACTCTAGTCTGACGCAATAAATTCGTCATCCACTTCATTCCTTGACTTTTCTCCCTCTCCACACTGTTTGTTTGGTTCAGTCATTTTTCTACACAGTCCAATATAAAATCTTTGAATCTGTAATTTCTCTTCTTGTATTTTTCGTTTGTTGTGTTCTTTTTGAATAGAATGAAACTATTCAACCGCAAAGACATGTTTTGTCCATACCATGGGTGTGAAATAGGGGCCTAGTGGACAAATATTCTTCAATTTCAGGGCGTTTGTCGATTCCTGTCATGAACACAATTCCTAAGTATGTCCAGATTTAATCTGATGTGACATAATTATAATTGTGTTTTCGAGAGTGAGGAGCTAACTCATGTGTGTTGAAGTGCTGGTGAGCATAGCGATTGGTTTCAGTTGTGATGTGATTTACCAAGTCGTCATCCAGAAAAAATTTTAATCCATGAAAAGGGATGCATTTTATGTGTTATATCAATTTTGATCCCGAAACTATTAGCAAATGAAAATATTGGGAGTACAATGTCTCCGTACGTTCATGAGATGGGTGTGTCAGGCACCGCACTCGTGGTAGGTAAATGTTCATGATTACTGTCTTGTGGATCATTGTCTATCACTGTATTATTGTCACTATCAACTTTATCCAATTCAGGAATCATTATTTCATCGCCACTATCATCATCAGAACAAATTTCGTTCACAATATTTTCCAGCTGGTCTGTAGGAACACGAAGACACTTGCTGCAAGAAGACATGGTGAAAATGAATGAATGTGAAATATTTTCTGACCTTTTCCTTCTCAGAGGGTTCTGACAGTAATATAGACCCCCACAAAATTTACAAGGGTTCTTTACAAACATGCACAAAAACTATCATATATATGTCTTTGGTTGATGAGTGCCAAGAGAGCAAAGAAGGGAAGAGATTGTCAAAGCGTTAAAACACGCCAACGCCAGGAAACGGCTGGCATCGTCTGGGCGTTAAAACACGCCCGCGCCAGTCAAAGAGTTAAAACGTTTTTTACAAAACTTATCTTTAGGTGTTAACAGCCACTCAGATACTCAACACATAACTAATCCATGTTCTTCCTTTAGCACGGAAGACCAAGCGTTGTACGCGAACATATGGACAGCAGACACAGACACATTATTTTGAGGGGGAGGGAGGATGTCCACATCTAATTCTATGAATTTAATAAAAGTGACAAAAACTTGGGACTCAGCAATATAATTTGAAGCAATGAAATGCCTTTAAGAACAAGTAATGTGCATGGAAATGGGTCTGCCTAGAACAAACTCCACAGAGCAGAGTCCTTGGGACACTAACAGTCACTCAGATACTCAAAGAAATACTATGGCAATATTATGGAACCTGAAGGTTCGTTACCATGCTGCCAAGGGTATAACAGTGGTCCCTATCCCAAGAACACCCGACAAACCTAGTCAACATCATACCTTCACCCCTTCTTTCACTCAAAATTGTAAATAACGACACACGTAATTACATACAAAATATAATTCAAAGTGTCGGTTATCTGCTTCCCCATTCACTGGTGGTGCAACTGTAAGGACATTTCTGTACACACAGCTCTGCAACAGCACTTTCAAGTAGGAAAGGCAGACATTGTGCAATCTTCATACTGATAAAAGTCATTAAACAGATCACG